GCTGTTTTCTTGTTCCTCCATAGTCATGATTACCCAGGGCTCCTCGATGGAGATGACGGTCTGGCCAGAGGGAGAAGGCAGACCATGCCCCAAGCTCTAGCTCTTAATAGACCATTAAAGTTCTTATTTGCCTTTTCGTTATCACATTTTTTCTTACTCATAGCCAAGAATGTGAAATATACCGTAATTCCAGAAAAGGAGTACAGACTCATCTAAGTAACTACCACCATCCCCACTTATCTTCTGGTAACTAGCTAGAGCTGATAGTTGTTCTCTTATTCTTAAGAACCTCTCAGAAAGGAAAAAGAAGTCAGCTCAAGAGCGCTGCCAGGCTGAGGAGGAGATGGATGAGATCCGCAAGTTGCACCAGGAGGAACTGGACAAACTTCGACAGCTCTTGAAAAAGACTCGCGTGTCTACAGACCAAGCAGCTGCAGAGCAGGTACTGGGAAAGTGAAGTTCTCTAGGAATAAAAGGTGTGAAGGACTCAGAAAAACTTCTGCTTCTTCCTTATCCTTTAGTATCATTTCTTCCAGTTGATATTCTTCACCTTGGAGAAAGGTTGAAAAAAGTAATCCAAATATATGCAGGAGAGCAGAAATCAAGTGGAGAATCTTTTTTCCTTAAAAGATTAGTTCATTAATATCTAATTATATAAGTAAAACATGAAAAAAAATCTCTTAAAAATTCTAACCATGTAAAGTCCTCAGTGGCTAGATGTCCTCTAGGTATATCATCAACCTTGAAAAGGTGAGATTTATTTAGTTAATCAGGTAAAACTGAAAACATCCCCCAAAAGTCAGAAATCCTGGACAATGGCAGGACACAGCTGGATGTCCAGTCCTTTTGGCAACAGTCTTTCTCATTGTACCTTTAAAACCATTATGTGCAAGTCCATTTAGGTAGAGGGCACTGGTGCCCTCAATTTAATCACCTCTGGGAATTTTGGCAAGAAAAAAAGTATTTCTGAACCTGCAGAGTTCAGGGTGCAGACACTGAGAAGGTTCACATTAAGGCCTTGCCTTCCAGGGACCTGTCTGGACAGTCACACCTTTATCTGGTGGGAGCAACTTTTGGAGTCCTAACAACCAGTGATGCTTTCCTTTATTTAAAAAGCAGTTACTTAAAAAGTAGTTGAGGTCTTTCAGGCTGTTATTTCTTGATTAAATCCAGGCCATTCGCATATTCTTTTGCCTGTTTCTTTGCCATTCTTTAATGGGCTCCCTTCGGTGCAACAGGCCCCCCCAGGGTGTAACCTCTGCTTTCTCTTGGCAGCTGTCTGTAGTGCAAGCTGAGCTACAGACCCACTGGGAAGCAAAGTGCGAGCATCTGTTGGCCTCTGCCAAGGATGAGCACCTGCAGCAGTACCAGGAGGTGTGCGCGGAGAGGGATGCCCACCAGCAGAAGTTGACATACCTTCAGGAAAAGGTAGCTGCTGCTTTCCCGGCGCCAGGCAGTTTAAGCAGCTCAGTTGACTGGAGGCCAGCAGGGTGCTCAAGTCCTGTAGATGCTTTGATCCTAGACATGTTAATAGCTTGAAAACAAAAATATGCTTGTATTACTATTCAGTTTGTCAGTTATCTTTATATATACTGATGTGAAGTGACAGATCAGTGACCTGGAAGAATTAAAAACAGCACTAGTGTTTAGAAACAAGTCTTCCATTTTTGTTTGATCCTTTATTTATTCAGCAAATATGTATTGAGTGTCACTTGTGTTCCAGTCACTGTGCCAGAGAAAGGGCACACAAAGAACTCTGACTTGAAGAATCCCAGTTAATGAAGGGAAACAAAGATTTGCATTAAGTGCTGTGGGTCCAAGGAGAGGAAGTGCCTAGGGGTATTGGGAAGGCTTCCCAAAGGAGGTGGTTCTTCAACAGAGCCAAGAACAAGTGGCTGTGAGAAGTAGATAAGGAGACAGAACATCCTGTGCAAAGGCATGGAGATAGGATCAAGCCTTCATGTATGAAAAGGAGAGAGGTAGAAGGTAGCTCAGGGCCGTGGTATGAAAGTCCGTTATCTGGAGGTCAGCTCGTTTCCTCAAAGTATCTAGTCAAAACTTTTAACTCAGAGATCTTTGAAGCCATCTTGGAGGTGAATGGGTTGCTGCTAATGTTGAATGTTTATGTGACTGTAGTTCTTACCTGTTCCCTCTTTTTGAGTTGAGTGACGAGGAAATAGACTGCTCTTTATCAGTGGTCTGTGGTAAGAGCTGAGGATGTCTTACCCCACAAGACCTACGCGAGGTTGTGGCTTGATACTTGCAATATTTCTCCTTTACTTAGGTTTCCTGACCTTTAGGTAGTAGTCCAGGTTCCTGAGCCCACAGCCTGGTCTGTTTGTTTTGCAGTGTTTAGCCCTCCAAGCCCAAGTCACAGCCCTTGCAGAACAAAATGAACAGCACAACAAGGAACTAGAGAAGAACAAATCCCAGAGGTCTAGAGTCGAAGCTGCTGACCCTTCAGAGAAGGTGAGCTAGTACTATATTTCAGAGAACCAGTAAGCTGTATCACGTCAAGGGGTGGAATGTGTATATCAGACATTCAGAAAGCATGTGGCCAATATGTTTTGTGGCTGACTTAAAAATTAAACCTTTAGAACCTTCAATTCTGGCAATTCCAAAAGGGTCCTCTTGAGCCTTTGACACATACAGGAAGTGTCTTTGAATAACAGGAGAATAGAAGGTGGCATTATGCCCAGCATCCATTGCCCACTAATCCTTGTCATTCGTGACCCCTCTCATTGGTGGAAGGGAGATAGCAATAAATGGTCTTTAACAGTCTTGGCCACACGTACCACATGCGTGCTCTTGACAGGGAACTCTTGCGCCTGACCCTCTGTTAAAGTGTGCTTGTTATTTAATAGTAGACAGCTCTTAGTATCTCTTTTCATGATCAGCTATGTAGAATGCTAAGATGGCATCATTTTAGTCTTCTAAACTCCTCTGTGGAATTTCAATGCATCTCTTAATGAGTTGATTTTGGCAACATGTTTTTGATCATCACTCAGGTCAAGAAGATCATGAACCAGGTGTTCCAGTCATTGAGGGGAGAGTTTGAGCTGGAGGAATCTTACAATGGCAGAACCATTCTGGGGACCATCATGAATACAATCAAGGTATGGCCAGCTAGCTGCTGACTGTTTCCACTGGAATGGGTAGTTTGTTTTTTTAAATATCTGCAAAGGATCAGGAGTGAGAACACTAGGCTATTCATCAGTAATTGGTTTTTCTTGGAATGACTTGTTGCTGGCTGGACTTGCCAGCGTCTTCTGAAAAGGAGAAGCACAGTCATTTGAACTAGCAGACAGCTGTGTTACTGAGGACTGAGGAACTGGCATGGCTTGCTGTCTTCTTTCAGTAACAGTCTCTTCCTTCTTGGCTTTTGAACAGATGGTGACTTTGCAGCTGTTGAACCAGCAGGAAGGAGAACAGGAAGAGAGCAGCAGTGAGGAAGAAGAGCAGCCTCAGAGACCATCCCAGGAGCAGCCAGCCTCAGCCACTGCTGGGCTGTCACTAGCATCCCTGGGTAGGGAGAGACAGGAGGCTCCAGTGGTGCCATTGGAGGAGGTAGTCGAGGCTGTCTCGTCACCTCCACAAGTGCTCTCCATGCCCCAGGATGGGGGACAGAGAAGGGAAAGGGCACCCTCAGAAGCAGAGATGCTCTCAGAGGTCAGAGATGGTTCCTTCCCACCTGAAGCAGCTCGCATCCCAGCCCACAGATTCCCAGGGCCCCCAACTTCAATTCCCCCTAAGCCACCAGGTCCTGTGACAGTGGACTCTGAGTATGAGGAGACACTTGCTGCTTCCCTAACAGCAGCCAAGCTTGACAGCCCACTGGGAAAGGTGCATGTTGGGGAAATAGCTCCAGAGGGCCCTCTACAAGAAAGCTCTGGGACACTGTTACTGACTCCAGATCCAGAGAAAGGGAACCCACCAGCCTTGGAGCCTGAAAGCCTGGGAGGAGAGCCCCAGCCCCCAGAGCTCAAAGGAGATGAGGCAGTCACTAGCTCTCTGGGCTCCTCCGAAGCATCATCAAGCACAGAGGCCAGTACTGCAGCTGTAGAGGCCACCCTCAGACCCAGCCACCACTCTCAGCATTCCAGGTATGTTCCTCTGAGTGCAGTGGGAGCGGCTGTGTGTGGAGGTTGTCTCTATTTTGTTCGATGCTGCTGACTCATCACTTAGATACTGACTAGATTACTCATTCATTCATGTATTCTACAACACTTCTCTGTGGGAGCTGTGCTGATGGTATGGCAGGGAGGGTAGATGTGGTTCATGAGTTTTAAAAACTTACAGTTCAGCTGGGCATGGTGGTACATTCCTATAATCCCAGCACTTGGGAGACTGTGGCAGGAGGATCATCATGAGTTTGAGGCCCGCCTGAGCTATATAGTGAGTCTAAGGCCAGCCTGAACTAAGTGAGACTTATCTTAAAACAAAAGTTAATTAATTAATTAAAATAAAAACTTACAGCCCAGTGGGGAAGATGTGTATTATAAAAGTAGGGTAGGTGCTAAAAGAAAGAAAGAAGGTGCTATAATAGAGACTAAAATGAGATGTTCTAAATTAGATGGGGTGGTTAGGAAAGGATTTTGAGAATTAAACTTCAAAACTGAGACCTGAGAATGGAAAGGAACCATCCATACCAAGAGCAGGAAGAAGAGACTGCAGAGAGAAAAGCATATGCAAAGGCCCTGTGGTGGGAAGGAACATGTTACAATCAAGGAACTGAAGAAAAAAAGTTACAGTAAATAGGTAAATGGTGTTAAGGTGAAGTCAGAAAACCAAGTAGGGCCAGGATATATGAGATTGTGTCACTGCTAAAAGTTTGGATTTGATGTAAGTTCAGTGAGAAGCTGTTGGGATTTAAGCAGAAGAGTAATGTCTGATATTTTAGCTTCAGAGGACTCCTCTAGCGATAGCCTGTGGAAAGGTCCACTGGCATGGAGGTGGGAGGAGTTCCAGAGGGATTTTTAGCCCAGGACTGGTGATCCTCATAGCTGCTAAGCCCTGTGGCCTAGAGCAGGAACAGCAACATGGTCTGTGACTTAATTTTCCTTCAGTGGTTCTGGAGATGAAGTGGAGGAACTGTTTCCAGGAGCAACTTTGAAACTTCCAAGGCCCAAAGCACAGCCTGAGGAGGAGGATGAAGATGAGGTGGTAAGGAAATCCCAGGCCCTGCCAGGCCCGCACACCAACACCTGGGGACCCTTCCCCACTGGCTCGGAGAAGAGAAGTGCAGTGTGTTGGTGGCCCACTGCTTGGACTCTGTGTACAGGGCCCTGCAGGAGCAGACTTGGGGCTGGGAGAGGGCAGCTCTGTAAGCATGGTGGGGATGGTCAGATACCACTTTACTCTTGAAGGAGAATCAGAGTCTCTGGCCACATAGCCGTTAGTTCTACTTGAAGTGAGGAATGGTGGACTGCTTAGTCCTGCATTGACATGCTAAAGCTCCGCTTTCCCCGGATCTGCTAGGATATTACTTACATTTTAGGACTGGGAAGGACTTAGAAGATTACCTTGTTGATACCCTTAGACAAAGAAACCAAGGCTCAGAAGGATAACCTTCCTAAAGCCACGCAAGGAGTGAGTGGTGGGATGGGGTCTGAAACTCCGGGCTCCTAAGATACCTGTTTCTGGGCACTTGGTTCACTTCCAAGCTGCCGCCTTGTTTGTCTTCACAACACCTGGGCAGCAGATGGGCTCAGGATAGATGACGTCGCCTGGCTTTCCAGAGTGTAAGGCCAGCAGAGTAAGCTGTTAGCAGGGCCTGGATTGGAGCCCCAGTTCCTGCACCTGCCATGCCCTGTTGTGCTAGACTAAGCACAGGGGCTGGCTGTGGGCTGTTGTGACTGCTGTGATGGGTTTTCAGTGGTGTGAAGAACCCAGATAAAGTTTAGTCCACATTTCCAGGGAAGAAATGTGAGGTTGAATGGGGGCTGATTGTGTTCCATCGTGTATCATTGAGTGGGTTTTGCATTTTGCCAAGAGACAGTGACAGATCTGGGAGCCAGCTTGTTTATACCAGAGCCCTTCTCTTTTGCCTGTCTTGTTTTGAAGGAAGTGTACCAGTTCCTGCCATTAGCCTTTTCTCAAGAATTAAATTTTGCTTCGAGAAAACCAAGAAAAAGAAAAAAAGTTGGAATTCTTAAGTTAGCAGTATATTATTGGTGTTAATGCTACCATCACTAAGTTAACATCTATTGCTTGTGTGGAGCGAAAACTATTTCACTTTCTCATTTAATCCTCTACTAATCTAGTAAGGTAGACACTCTTACCTATTTTATAGATCAGAGCACCAAGGCACAGAGAGGTTCAGTAATGTAACTCAGGTTATATTATGGGTGAAGGGGTAGAGCCAGAGCCTTAAAAGAAAACAGAAGGTATGAGCTACACTTAAGTCCTGTTCTGTTAGAGTTTAATGATCATCTAGTTAATGCCCAGAGAAGTACAAATTCTTTTAGCAGGTGGAGAGTGGGATTAGCTCAGAGGCCTCTGTATATGCTGCCTTCTCTGGGCCTGGCCTGCATGGAGACTGATTTTGGTCAGCATGAGCTTACTGAGCAGAAAGTACCTTCACAGAGACTGTTTGGTTCATGCCTGTCTCTAGCATCAACTCCCCACTGCCCCCATGGGACCTGTTCCCTGCCAGTTCAGAGAGAAAAAGCTAGGAGCTCATGTCCTGAAAATGCTGGGAGAGTCTTCTACATGGCCCCTGTGTGAGTCATCTTTCTTTTACTGTCAGATCACACCTGAAATGTTGAGCTTATAAAGAGAGAATGTCTATTTTGGCTCACAGTGTCAGAGGCTTCAGTCCATGGCTAATTGGCTTTGTGGCTTTTGTGCCTAAAGCAAGGCAAAACATGACAAAACCACACAAAGCCACGGACATCATGGTGGTGGAGGGGAGAGAACAAGGAAGCGGGTATGGGGTCCTGCTGTCTCCTCCAGGGGTTCCCTGCCACCATCTAAGGCCTCCCCCTAGGTCCCATCTCTTAAAAGTTTCCACTATCTCCCAGAAGTACCCAGCAGGGGTGGGAGGGAGTATAACCAAGAGTCTTCGGGGGACACTTAAGATCCAAGCCATAGCACTCCTTAATCCCCTTTATCTTCCTGTCTGGTTGGAAGGAACAGGGTGAGAGAAGTCAAGGTTGTGGGTAGCTGGGCCCTGTGTCCCTGGATTTTTTTCATGTTGGGAATTCCCCACTTGGGAGTGTGGCTGAGCCTCTAAATTCAACGCTTTTTCAAAGGAGTCACATCCAGAGCCAGTCAGGGTAGTATCTTAGGCCACAGCTGTTGTTTTTGATGTGATTTGTATTCTTCCCAATTTCCCGTCAACTTCCTGCATCCTTTCTCCCCTCTCAGGGCTGTTCTGATTCTCTGTTTCTTTGTCCTACTCCCAACCCTCCTCTGTGACTCCTCTTTCTGCACAGGAAATGTGTAAGTTACCAAATGAGAGGAAAATCTGTCAAATCAATACATGTGCTTCCTAAATAAATGACAAAATTAGCCAAACAAAGTTGGTCTTTTTGTCTCTGTTGCAAGACTGCTCTCGTCTTTGCATGCTGTCTCAGCTTTATCTGGAAGCCTAGGCTGCAGGCGTCTGGGCTGGTTCTTCTGGTACACCACCTTTCCAATCTGGAGCCAGGAATGGATGTTGAACCACTTCACCTCACAGGCAGGAAGTCCATCGGGGCGGGAACAAGTGAGGACTGACTACTCTTTCCTGTTTTGTCAGAGCATGAAGGGACACCCGCCCCCAACACCCCTTTCTGGAGATGACGATGATGACGATGACATTAACTGGCTGGGATGAAGACCCAGGAAACTGTGCACAGATTTCTCTACCAGCCCTTCCCAATAAGCATGATTTTGCACAGCCAGCCCTGGGTCTAGATGAGCCACAGGGTGAAGTCAAGGTGAGCAGTTCAGATACCTGAGTTAGCCTCTTGGGAGCCCCCACCTGACTTGGTGAAGAGGATCATGATTCTGTCTGCAGAGCTGGTGTTTGGAGCAGCCAACCATGGTCTTGCCTGTAAGGCCCATGTGGAGGAAGGGCTGCAAAGTTCCTCTCTAGCCAGTCACCCGCAAGAGTCCTGCCCTCTTCCAAGCTTTTTCTTCTCTTCGTTGACTCTCAGACTGACCTGAAAGCCCAACTTCATCTGTCTGTCAGAGCCTAGCTGTGTCCCAGCAACAAGACCTGTGTCCTGTGGGGAGGTCTCCCTGGAGAACCAAAGGGAGACCACACTATCTCCATCCCTGTTTAGTCAGCAGCCTGGCCTGCTATCGTAGAATATGTACCTTTTTTCTCTGCCTTAAGTCTTATACATGAGGTCAATGAGTATTTGAAATTAACAAAATTAAAATAAATGACTAATGAAACTTGACTTGGTCCTTGGGGGAAAATTGGTTCTGAGAGCTGTCAGTGGTTCTCTTGGGAACCTAAGGGTGAGGGTAGTAAATGGACCTGTGAATGTGCACAAAAGCGTTGTGACCTGTTCCGTTTGGTACCTTAACCTGAAATTGAGGCTTCCAAAGAGGTTACCACCACCTGTCCCAGCTCATCCCAGCTGCATAAGGCTCAGGCACTCATGGTTATCTGAGGACATTCCTTAAGGCACTTGTCCAAGTAAACCATGAGAGAAGGTGAGAGGGCTCCCAATTTCCATTGTTCTTGGCATCGGAAGGAGTCTTCATTTTGGGAGCAGCTTCATTCTCTCTGAAATCGCCGGGCCAGGATTAATGCAGAGAACAGCAGTGAGAATATATTTGTGACCATATTATTTATCTTAGGCTCTTCCAAAGAGCGTGCAACTAGTCTTCAAATATAAAAATATTACTGACTAAATGTTGATAAGATAGGAACCTGTCTAGGTGAGGTAATGCATGCCTGTAATCCCAGCGTTTGGGAGCCTGAGACGGGAGGCCACTGTGAGGTCAAGGCCAGCCTGGGCTACATAGTGAGTTCAAGTCTAGCCAGAACCACATAGTAAGACCTTGTCTAAATGAATGAATGTATGATAGGAACCCAAATTCCTCTCTATCTGGCCCCACATCACCTTTGTAGGCTTTGTGCTTGTGTCCCCAACATGGGCCTGGAGGGCATTGAGAGAAACCAGGTATTAACCTTTGTTATTTAACAAATAGGTGCTGCTGGCTGGCAGTGAACGTAGATTGTCTTGTCTCCAACAGCCATTGCAGGAGACTTGAAGGGTTATCCACTTTTATAGGGAAGAATCAGGCTTAGAGAAGTAAAGCAGCTTGTCCAGAATTATATAGCCAACAAGCCACAGAATAGAGATCCAATTCCTGGTTGTCTGATTGGAGAGCCTGGGCTCTTGGTCACCACCATTGCCAGACTGCCCTTGGGGTTGAGAGGAACAAGTCATGCAGAAAGGACCAAGATTGTATATACATCAGCTCCCCAGATGACTGTACGCATGTATCCAGACATGTACTAACAAAGGTACAGGCTTTTGGGCCCTGCCCGGCATCTCTGGAGATAGATTTGTCTACCCCTTTATGGTACGACATAAAGAACACACTTTTGCCAGGTGTGGTGGTCCACACCTGTAATCCCAGCACTTGGGAGCCTGAGGCAGGAGAATCGTTGTGAGTTTGAGAAGAGTCTAGGCTACAAAGTAAGCTCAAGACCAGCCTAAACTGCATAAGAGACTCTATCTCAAAAAGACAAAAAGAAAAAAAAAAAAAAAGTGTTTTTCAGTCTTTACTTCCTTGTTCCCTGAGTGCTCTGTGGCCTCAGCCAAGTTACTCACCCTTTCATGGTCGGCCCCCTCATGAAAACAGAGCTGATGGAGAAAGATTCTAGCTGGGCGTGGTGGCACAGGCCTGTAAACCCCGCACTTTGGAAGACTGAAGCAAGAGGATCACAAGTTTGAACCCAGCCCGGGCAATTAGCCAAGACCCTGCGTCAAAATTTTAACATTACTTCTTTCGTTTTGCTTTGTTTTTCTTCCAGTACTAGGAATCGAACTCACGACCTTGCGCTTGTCAGGCGGGTGCTGTGCCGCTGAGCTAAACCCCAGCCCCTGTGTCAAAATTTTAAAAGGGCCAGTGTTATAACTTATTCAGTGCAGAGGCCCTGGGGTCAATCTTCAGTACTCAAAAGACAAAAAAAAAAAAAAAAAAAAAAGGACAGAGTGAAAGCTGCCTCTGTGTCCTATTAACTGCGTGACTAGTTCTGTGTTCTTGAGCTACTTCATCTGTAAGATGGAGACAAGAATAATTTCTAGCTTGTTGTGAGAATTAAATGAACTAATATTTGTAGAGTGCTTAGAATACTGCCTGGCACACACTACCTACTAATATAGATGTTTGTTACATGTTTTAAAATTTGCTGGGAGTGATGGTGCATGCCTGTAATGCTGGTACATGGAGGCTGAGACCAGAGGATCACTGTTAGTCTGAGGTTAGCCTGGGCTACATAGTGAGGTCAAGGCCAGCCTGAACAACATAGCAAGATCCTACCTCAATCAAAAGTAAAAAAAGTAAGTAGGGAAAATAGCACTTTTTGTGACTTTGCTCTAAAGGGTGTAGAAAACACAGCAGTGGATTGTTTACTAAGTCTAATGTATAATCACTCTATGGCCTAAAGGTAAAAAACTTTTTAAGACCTCTCTCTACTATAAAAACCATATTTAGGGACTGCCAAACTGAGGCATTTACTGACCACCCACGAAGGTCCAATTTCAGCAGTACACAGGGGAAGAAGCCTAGGGCAGGACTTGATGGATGGCTGAGCCCCCAGTGAAATCTCACACCTGTTGAGGCCCTGGGCAGCTTTCCAGTTCCCTGCACACCTGAGAACGTGCCAAGCAGTCCTAAAGGTGTCGCATCCTCCACTTTCTGTGACGGTTCTTCTCACACATGGAAAAGTAGTCATATTTTTGCTTCTGCCCTCACAGAGAGCAGGTGCTAATTATGCCTGACAACACAGGTACTTAAGTCTATGTGGCAGGGTCTTTATTACAGTGGGCACACACTGATGCTTATTCTGTCAACAAAAAAACAGTGAGTTGGCACTTTGGGGTGTCTTTCTGGAGGCACAGTGCTTCAGCCTCCATTTCTCTGAGCACAGAACTGTTGTCTTCCACGGATGGACAGACCCAGGCCGCAGACAGCTGGACAGTGTGCTCCAGCTCCATTCGCCCCCCACTCAGTTCCTGCAGTTGTGACAAGAGTTTTGTGTACTTACTGTTGGAATGAGGAAAAATAGACCAATAGAGACTGTTCAAAAATATATATTTATTAAAATGTATTTGTTTTAACTCCCAAACCTTAAGAGCATCTTTTCATCTAGCCCATGAGGTACTTAAGCATAGATATTACAGTATATAGCAGTGGTTTTCTCTCCCTGGGTCTCTCCTTTTCTGTGAAGTGAAGAAGTTCAAACATCCAGAGTCCATCTAATTCTAAAAGGGCATCACCTTTGGTCTGACTGCTTCCCGCATCCTCATTCAATCCCCCCGCCCCCATCACTACAGCTTAATCAGTGACTGAATCATGTCCCCAGCAGATCATTACAAGTGGGCAGTGAGTAATAAAGTGCATTAAGCACTGAACAGTGTTAAATGCAGTTCGCTGTTCTGCATTAAAGAGTATCTGGATAAGGGTGGGGGATACTCACCCAGACACATGGGCCAAAGACTGACCTCCTGTGCAGGCAGTGCCATCTGATGGCAGAAGCTCATTCTATTCAGACGACAAGCCAGAGCCTTGCTAACTCCTGAGTCTGCCTTTAATCAGTTAGTGCTTATTCTCCCCTCAAGAGAGGGAGATAGGCCTCAGCAGATGCTGCCATCCAGCCGGTATAAAATACAATAATTCCATTACAATTTTTGTTTTGTATGAATGTGCAAAATTGCCAACCAGAAGTCCAACAGGAAAATGAAAAATCTTGGTCCACATGATCCACTGAAGAGACAATCTTCATGTGTTCAAAGGCAGGAAGGTGAGAAAAAGGAGCTAGGGTGGTCTCTGACCCCCAAAGACAGCTCAGTGAAAGATGTTCCTATAGATAAGGCACAGAGCAAGACGCAGGGTGTCCAGGTGTCATGGCCACTGTCACCCAGAGCCCATTTCTGTCCTGAAGATCTTTGGAAATAAGGTTGAGTCACAGCGCTGCATCATCGGCCGTAGGCTCTGCCTCCTCCACCTGCCCCGGTCAGAGCAGCCCTCAGGCGCCACACTAAGCTGGGCCCCGCTCAGGCTGGCTGAGGAGGGAACAGCTGCAGTACCCTCCAAACTCCAGGGAGTGAGTGCTGCCTTCTGCCCACAGTTGCCAGGAGCTGGGCAGATGAAAACACAGCTGAAAGTATAATGTGTAGAAGAGGGGGTTCTGGCTCCCACCAGCCCTCAAGGCCTGCTCGTCCTCTGCCAGCTAAACCTTGCCGAGAAGTGGGAATACTAGGTAGTAGCCCACAGCTGAGCCCAGGACCACACCAAGGAAAATCCAGGCATTGTAGGACATTACAGCCAACATCATGAAGTAGCCGATGACCACTTGAATGACATGGACTAGAGACTGGCCCAAATGACACAGAAACCACCTAGGTAAAGAGAACCAAGTTAATGCTGGTAATGTGCTGGAGGCAGGGAGGTCCTATCTGGGAGTAGCAAGCCCTTATATTACAGCGTAACATCCTTAGCCCAGGAGAGATTGTTTTAAAGAAACATCACTACATTTAGTCTAAGCTTCCTGGTATCCTAGGCAACAAAGGAAATGATACATGTAATTCATCTTGTCTGATAAGGGATACAAGGAAATCATCACTAGTGCAGATTGATTGATTGATTGATTGATTGATTGATTGATTGATTTTACCCTGAATGTACTGTGGGAGGCAGGGTAACAACGGAAAGAGCGGACACTGGTGGCAGATCAGTTCCTAGCTCTGCCATGTACTAAATCTGGCCTAGCACAAATGTTTTTATGTCTCTGAATGTTAAATTCCTTATCAGTACAACAGGAATAAAGTTCTTCCCTTGCAGGATGGTTTGGAAAGACTTGAGCCACCCAGGTAAGGTACCTGGTGATGATACATGTAGACGTTACTAAACCTCAAAGGTGAGGCTGGAGAGAGGACAGAATGGGGACCCTAAATGGCTGTTTGACCTTAAATGGAAAGGGATAAAAGGGATTTCTCCCCTTGCCCACCAACGTGGATGCATAGTTTGCAGCAGTTCTTAGCATTTGCTTTGGGACAGCTGAGATGCCTTCCTGGGGTTGGAAGCCTAGTGAGATTTGAGAGAGGGCTGCATGGTCGTCATGCTGCTAGACAGGGACCTGCAGCAGAGTTCTGAAGGTCACAGGTCCCTGCAGAAATCCTGAGCTTCCCAAGTGGCTATGGATACAGCTTTGGCTGAGGTAACAGGGAAAGTTCAGCCGTAGTTCACCTTACTAACTGTAACCACTTTGGCAAGTCCTGGTCTTTTCTTGGGCCTCCATTTCCTTTCCTGTTTGGGACTAATGCTGTCAGGACCCAGCCTCCTTCTCAGGGTGATGTAAGGATTCTGTCCATCCCCCACCGCCAGTGCCTGTACCTGAGGGGTGTTCTGCTGACAGAGAGTGAGTCCGAGTCTACAGAATCCCGCTCTCTCGCCAAGATGAGCTCCTGGCTGGCAGGCATGTGCAGGCTCGCCAGAGTGTGGTAGAGGAGCTTGGCTTTGCCAACCTTGATGCCTTCGTACAATACAGCCAAGAGCAGGACTACCAGCACCGAGAGTGCCATGCCTGTTGAGAGAGGCAGAGTTGGGAAGTAGGTTCTGGGGTTCTGCGTACATTAAGGTTATTAAAGATAGTCATAAGGTAGTGTATATTTCAAAAAAGCTAGAAGGATTGTAAATGTTTGTACCATAGAAAACTTACATGTTTCAGTAAATACACTGATTTGAACATTATACAACATTATATTATATAATATATACATGTATATTATATACATGTATCAAAACATCACATAAATAGGTACAATTTCTGGAAGGAAGGAAGGAAGGAAGGAGGGAAGGGGAAGGGAAAGAGAAGGAGAGATGAAGGGGGCAAGTTGCAGAGACCTGGCCCATCCCCCTGAGCAGTCTGCTCAAAGTGTCCTGATGTGGATGTGCACAGCAAGGTCCTCCTCACATGTGGGCATACCAAAAAAGTCTGGATGGAGTAATAGTCATCATCTCAGCAAATTTGGATACAGGTGAGTTTTTATTTTCTTGCAAAATTCTTTAAAGTTTTTCCTGCATCTATTACTTTTATACTAGAGAAAAACCCCGTAAGTTATTTTATAGAAAATAAGTGCTTACTTACTAGAGCTGCTGTGTAAAATTAACTGCCAATTCTACTTTGTTTTTACAAGTGGGGAGAGATGTGGCCAAGCTAAGAATTTTGGTCTGTCTTTTGCACGGAGATACATTCCCAGCCCTTTTTTTATTTTGAGACAGGGCTCTTGTTAAATTGCCCAGACTGTGCACAAATTTATAGTCCTCCTCCTTCAACCTCCCAGAGCACTGGTATTACAGGCATGTGCCACCATGCCTGGCTTCCAGCTAAAGTATTTTGTGGCGCTCTGTGACATAATAAGAAATATATAATTGATTTCTGCCCTGGTTTCCTGGCACACAGCTTTTTAAACCCTTGGCAACTGGCTAGAGGTGCCTTTTTGCATGCTATTAAGATGACTAAGTGTCTCAGGATAGGGGCTGGTTACCAGGTGACTAGAGGGTTGGAACTTTCAGTCCTACCCTCAACCTCTGGAAAAGGAAGAGGGATTGAAGGTTGAGTTAATCACCAATGGCCAATGACTTAATCATACCTCTGAATTCTGTGAGCCATTCTAGCAAATAATTGGTCCCAAGAAGGGGTTCATGGACCCAATTTTATAGCTAGTTGGTCACAAGTACAGGAGATAAGGTGAGGTTTGCAATTAGTGTTTGGTGGGAGGAAACCTTGTAGAATGATGCTCTTAACCTATGGGGTCTGTCCATCTGTTTAGTGTGAGAAATGAATTGCAGGACACTCAGCTGGTGTTAGAAAATTGTCAGTGTGGGGAAAACTGGAGAACTGGCCATAGAAGTATACTGAATGTGAGAAAGGGTAAAGAGTAGGTTAGTGTTCTCCCTCACAGAGGAAATTATCTACAAAAGATGCAGGATTTTAAAACACAAAATTACAGGTAATTGCATGCACATGGTAAAAATTCAAACAGTACAGAAAGGTAGACAGTGGAAAATCAGTCTTCTCTGCCTGGCTTCTCAGAACGCTGATCCCCCTCCCCAGAGCAGCCTATCACCATGTGTGTGCCAGCCTTCACCTGTCTAAATGACACATCCTGTTTCTGTACTCCAGCGTCTGACTTCACCATCCAGCTGTACCTGTGTGTGTGGGTTCACACAGATCTGCTTTTTTTCCCCAGTGGCTCCACAGTATCTGTAACATTTTATTTTCCAAAGATGGTCACCCCAATATCTCATCCCACAAGTTCTTCTTCAAATGTTAACTCCTCCCATCAAGTGGTAGGGGCTATGCTGTCTCCCCTTTAGCCTAGGAAGACCTTTGTGACTGCCTCAATAAGGTGGAAGTCATGTGATTTCCAAGGGACAGTCATGTTTACAACCCAGCCACCCTGCCACAAGAAAGCCTAGGCCATAGGAAACACCACATGTAGGTGCTCAGCCAAGAGCCCTAGCTGAGATCCTAGCTCATTCAGCATCAACCACTGGACATGAGTGAGAGACCCCAAGATCACTCCTGCTCCAGCTGCTATGTGACAATACTTTGAGAGGCCTTTAGAGAGGACCACGAAGCTGAGCCCAGTCAACCTACGGAATCTTGAGAGAGAATGATAAAATGACAGTTGTTTTAATCTACTTAGTAATTGTTAATTGGAATGGTAATCCACTGTAGAGATGACTAAAGTTTATTTGATCTGTACCTATAGTGATGAGCATCTGGGCTGTTTCTAGTCTATTTTTAAGATTTTTTGTTTGTTTTTTGTTTTGCTTTTTGAGACAGGGTCTCACTATGTAGCCCAGGCTGACCTTGAACTCACGGTGATCCTCCTGCCTCAGCCTCCCAAGTGCTAGGGTCACAGGTGTGCACCACCACGCTGGGCAAGATCATTATTTAAGTTGAAAAATAATCATGAATTAGTATCAAATTCTGCTCTTTCAAGTCAAAGGAATATTCTCCCCTTTCAAACTGGTGTCTCACCTAAGGTCCAAGGCTGCAGAGGCTGCTGTGGGCTTCTGAGCTAGTGCTAGACAATGAGTCCAGATGACAGAGGTCGCAGGAATCCCAGGGGGCCTCAATCTAGTTCTGGCTCCAGCGCTTACTCACTTGTGCCCCTGCGTGAGTCTCTGCCCATCTCTGGGTTTCAGTTCCTTCCCCCTGGGATAGAGGGAAAAGCTACCTCACCAGCCTCTCTCTGGGCCTGGTAAGGATCGGGGAGATAATAAAGCCCTTTGCAATATGAAGGGCAGTGTTGCAAATGGAATTGCAGCTGCAAAGTTCCTTCTCAGTGCATGTAATGGAGGAATGCCGGTCTCCACTGTCCCATGCTACAAGGCTTCCCAAGCTACAGGTCTGAGCTTCCCAATTCTTACCTGCAGGACTGTGAACACACCAGAAATCAAACAGGAGCATGACCTTATCTGAGAAGACGAAATGCATCTGAAAGAGAAGGGAATCTGTATCACAGGGCACTTCAGGCAATGCAAGTCCTCTTTCCTAATGCTCTCCAGAAGCCCCCTCTACAGCCCCAGAAAGACAGGGCCACAGGATTTACAGCCTGAAAGTTCCCTGAGAGGCCATCTGGGACAAATGAGGCCACGGAGAGAGGGGCTTGCCTCTGTGGGTTCCAGTGGATCGACCTGGGCCTGCTTCCTGCGGCTGTGAGGATAGGGGAGGGTCTATGCTCTCGGGATGTCACAGTGCCCTCAGACCATGGAGCCACATCCCCTCCAAACCCACTGGGGAAGCAATAGGCTGCCTCTTCTTACCCCCAGCCCAGCCCTCTTGCTCAGCTCCAGGTCAGGCTCCCCTGAGGAAGCAGAGTCCTTTTTGTCCTGGTGAGTCCATGCAGATCAGTGGAGCATGTCATGGAGGGGCCCAAAGACAGCTGTCTTCAATCTGTACACATCTGTCCACTCATTCACTAAACACTGGCTGAGCCCAGTCCTGTGCTCAGCGTTAAGAAGGGCTAATGTCTGAGCTGGCTGAGGTCATGGCTTTCCAGGAAAGACTCAAGGTAAGCGCAATGGTCATGCGGTGCCTGTCTGCCCATCTCAAGAGAGTGCTGTGTGCAGGATGTCATCAAGGGATTTTTATACATTACCCAACCATGATGGCATGAGAGTCCTCCGTGTGACAGGGACAGTTAGGTCCATTTTAGAGGAAGGAAAATGGGAAGCTAGACTCAGGGAAGTTAAGTAATTTGCAGGATGTCACAAAACTAGTATGTTGGCAGAACTAGAATTCAAACCTGAGGCTAGCACATCCCAAGCACTGTGGGCGCTAGGATACTGTGAACCTTCCAGTCTCCAAAACGGGCAAGACAGGAGCTGGATTGTAATATTAAATACCAAGCCGGGCTCAGGACTGTGTTTGGCAAGACCAAGGTCAGTTTGCTCAGTTAGTCAGGTCACCCTCCCAGGGAAGAGAAAGTCCCCCCTTGTCACCAGGTAAGGCTACATGGCTAGTAGAAGCTGCTCTGCAGACAGCAAGCTGAGAAAATTCTGGTTGCACTGGGATCAGCTGGTAGCAGCCTCTGCTTTCTAAGACAGTGGCCCAGTATTAAAATTCTGGTGTGTCACAGCTGGAGTGTCCTCCGAGGAGTTTTGGTCCCTGGGCTTTTTTTGCAAGAGAACACTGGCAAATAAAATCTTCCTTATTGCTCCATTATAAAACATTGGGTTCTGAGTGAAGGGAGGAGAGCGGCTGAATTTTGCTGGTGCTCGGATTAAAAAACACTGATCTGGCCCAACTACCACCCACTCCACCCTCTCTCATTTACAGATGGGAAAGGGAGTCCCAGGAGGGGAAAAGATCTGCCCATGACTTCACAAGAAGCTTGGCTGCTCTGAATTTGTGTTCAAGGGAGAGGACCTGGAGAGGGAACAGGGGTTCTCAGGAAGGTTGCAGAGGCCATCTGTTCTCAACTCAGAGAAAGGGAGTTCAGGCTGATCTTCAGTGGGTGGGTGGATCCACAAGCACACTAGATGAGCTGCATTTTGTCTAGAAGCTGTGCCATGTGGATGTTCCATGGCCTCTTGGGTACTACAGCCACAAGCTTCTGTCTGCAGACAACGGCCCCAAAGCCCTGTCTATTTCTTTCTTCTCTCTCAAAATTGAAAATCAAAGGAGATAGTAAAGAATAGTAGACTGAGCCTAGGATTTAGAACAAACCAGATCTGTTCATTGAGTCCTCTCTCAGGCCTCTGTACCTCCTGGGGGAAGCTGAGAGAAAACACTGTGAAGGCATGCACATAAAGTGACACGGTAAAATTGACCTCTTTGCCATACCTGTGGCATTTGGAGGGGTGTTTCTTGAAAGGGTTCCATGGAAAACTCAGGATGTTAAGAGATGCTCTGAAAATGGATTCTGTGGTCAAGTAAGTTTGGGAAAAGCTGTAATTGGGCAAAATAATGTTTAACAGCCCCTCTGCTGCCAGGCGGCTGAACTTAGAACCCTAAAGTGGAGTGTGCCCAGGCCTGGGGACATGGGACAGTTATGAGCAACCCCACTGGCAAGTGGTTTAGTGAAGAGAGACAAGAGTCTCTTTAGAATCTTCAGGGGGATATTAAAAATGCAGAAACCTAGGTCTTTTCAGACCCCTCAAGCAGAATCGGGGGCAAACCTCAGGAGGCAGGGGAACCCATGATTTTTAACAAGCCCTTTCAGGGGATTTTGACACTCACTTCATCTGTTATAGCCCTAAGAGAGGCAGCAAAGCCTTTGCACAGTCAGGACACAGATTGGAAAGCGACATGTCCTGGTTCTCCCTCCCAGCTCTGATAGGAACCAGCTGTGTGACCTAAAGCCACTGACACATAGCAAGGCCCCTCTGGACCTCAGTCTCCTCATATATAAAATGGAGCCTGGGCTCTAAGGACCCTCCCCCTGGTTTGGTCTCACTTTCATAGGCCCCTGTGAAATTGGTAGAGGCAGGTTCCTAGCTTGAGCTCCACTCCTACCTTGGAACTCCACAAAGGAGAGTAAAGGAATTGCATCTGTGGAGTGGGTGGGGGATTTCATCCATGCATGTCTCAACGTGGACACTGCAGCTTTGGGTCTGCTAAAGACCTGGAAACAGAGCTGGCTGTTCTACTCAAGCAAACATGCCTTTCAGATTTGAAAGAGGTCTGACTTGTAAACAGCCCTGCCTGTGCCTCCACATGTGCCGAGCTCTCTAGATCTGCAGGACAGAGAAGGAATGTAAACCATGTGATGGAACCCAACGGCTACAGAGCCATGTGAATTCTGATGGCCTGCATGGACTCGCACTGTGTCATCTTTCGTCCTGTGTCACTCCCCTGACCTCTCTGAAATCACTTACTTTTACTAACTCCTTTACATTGACAAGAAAGGCACAGAAAGGCCCACTTACCTGCTCAAGGTCACCCAGAGAACAGGCCCCAGATCCATAGATCCTTCTGGAAAGCCTGTGCTGGTTCTGAAACCTAAGTGTGCTCTGCAAGCACCCTGGCTGTCTCTGGGGCAGCTGTGTGTGGGGCCACACTGTGGGAAACCATCTGGACCATGATACGCTCCTGCCGCTTCATAGGGACTGGTTAGGTAATTTGTGTGATAGTTTCCAAATGGAAATCTTAGCAGTTACTTTAAAATCATGTCAAAGAATTTTAAAATAAAGCTAGCTTTTCATCCCCCTAATGTGAAGTGGCACTCGCTCAGTGCAAAAAGTTGCGCTAGTACCGAATAGGCGGTGAAACTCATTTTGAGATCTATGAGCCAGAGATATCTCCTGTCAGAATTTCAAAAAGCATATTTGCTGACACAGTAAAATGTTTAGTAAAGATTAACATGTAAAAATGAACAGATGGAAATACTCCCGTGAAGCTTCATTTATACTGGAGCTGAACTCATCTGACTTCTGCCAGGTGAAGTCTTCCCCATGACCCTGTCTCCGTGTCCAGTTGGTAAAGCAGCTGGCATGAATGGAATGTCTCCAGTGGCTAATTAATCACCCAGGGAGTTTCCATAATGGGTTTCTTCTATCTTCCTTGGGCCTGGGCCAGCTACCTTAGCAGTCCAAAACAACCCCATACCTTGTGCAGCGGACTGGAACATCTACAGACAGTAAAAGTCATTTAACCAACATTTCATTTTGTGGGATGAGGAAAATCCTAGATCCTCATGGAGCTAACCGTCTAGTAGGGGAGACAGAGACACGATCAGATAATTACAACAGGGTATATGTGATCAGAGACAGGAGGGCACAGTGGAGACCTGGAGGAGCAGGACATGGGGGATAAAGCCACCTGGGCCTGACTGAGGACAGGAGTACAAGAAGCTATGAGTTCCGAAGCAGCCAGGATGACAAGAGGCCATACAGCAGGTTCAGAACTAGAAGTACAGATAGCATCGATTCTATACTTGCCTCGGAAGTTGGAAATCCAGGTGGGACAGAAACGAACAGGCCACTTGGCCTTCCCAATTCTTGTTTATTTGCTCAAGAAAAGGGATTCAAATCAGCACACCCTGACTTGTGTGCTCCATGCTACAGTTTTCAGTTAAAGGGTTTTGTGGTTAGATATACACGGGGTAGGGCTCCAATCTTGTTTTCCCACTTGGGATGAATCTGGGCTCTAGCCCTTTAATTTACCCGTGCTTTATTCAGGGCCCCGCCCTGGGTGGAGGGACCCTGGGGAGCAGGGAACAATCAGTGGGAGGCGTTTTCTTCCTTATTTTCTCGTTTGGGGGTTACTTAACGCTTTGAGAAACGCTCCCTCATTTATTAACCAAAGACTTCAGAAGGAGACTTTAGGTCCCCGTGCTGCTGCCAGCTACCTTGGGGAACTCTTTCAAGGGTTTCCCATCTATTTCCCCTTTAGGAGGACGGATAGGAGGTGGGGGTGGGCGGCTGACTACAGACTGCCTAGGTTTCCTATCTGTCAGTCTCCGGCGTTCTTTATGGGATGAAGAAAATGATACGATTTCTCCAAGCACTGGCTCTTTTAAAATGTCATTCTCTCCAACCCAGGTGAACTCCAACAACAGAAGTGTCTGTCGCACACTCTACTTTCTGACTAGATCTAGGGGAGAGTAGGAAGTAGCTGGGACTGTTGTAAAGAATCACAACTACTTGTCAAGGGCGGGGCCCGGGTCGGGGATGTGTGCAGCCGGACCAGGCAGGACCCCCGGGACTCTCCTTTTGCTAGAAGCCTCCCGGAACGCCCAGGTCACTGCCTCGCGCCTGGGACAGGTCCCTCTCTGCTGTCCTCGCCCACGGTGCCCACACCTCTGGCCACACCACAGCCGGGGTTCCTCTGGCCCGACTCACTCCCAGCCGGAGGAACGAACAGAAACCCCGAATTCACCGCCAGCGCCAGCGCCAGCACCACCTGCCGCGTCGCCCAACCCCGATCCGAGTGTGACAGTGCCCTCCGCAGCCTGGGGCGGCGAGGAGCCGGAGGGTCCGGGGCAGCTGCTCCAGGGGACCCCGCCCCAGCGGCCCACCCGCGTCCATCCTCCGCGGGGCGCCCGGGACTCACCGCCATGGTGAGCGCGCGGGTCGGACGCCGGGGCAGCTTCTGCTCTCTCCGGTCTCCGCGCTCAGACTCCAGTCCCGCGGCTCGCGCCCCTACAGCGACCCGGGCCGTGCGGGTCACGTGATCCCGGAGGCGGCGCGCGGGCGCCTGGGAGTTGTGGTTCCCACGCGCGCCCCGCCCCGCGGCCTGGGCCGCGCCCCCTGCCCGGGCTCCACGCGCGGACTCGGGTCCACGCGTCCGCGTCCGCGTCCGGCGGCCCGAGTCTCTGCAGTCGCGAGGAGCTGGGGCTGCCGCCCGCGCCCATTCTAGCCTGTCTTGTACTGTTTTGCGTTTGACTTTGTCTCGGCAATTATCATAAAAATGTTTATTGCTCACTGTCATAAGCCACACTGCTGATAATTGGAAAGTCTGTCCTGTGGACACAGTAACAACGAACTAGGAGTAAATTAAATCGATTCCCTCCGAGACTTTTCGTGTAGCTGTTTTTCTACCTCTGCAAATCCGACTAATGAAAAGCAGTGAACGGTGGTAATTTTTTTTTTTTTATTTTAAAGATAAAAGGAGGGAAACATTAACAGACATACAACATTTTACAACATATCACAAGCACAATACAGACAATACAGAGTTACAAACA